TCGTAATGGGGAATCTTGAGCCCTTTCGTTGCGCTTGAGGCCGCATTTGGGGCGTCAAAAACGGCTGCAAGACGGCTTCGGCTCTTCAAAGGGCTTGGGCTTGTCATTTCCTGTTTGATTTTGGAGATCTCTTCTTCCACTCTCTCCTCTATGGCCATGACGCGATGTTCCAACTTGCCTAACCCTTCCTCCACTTCCTGTACCCGTTCGACAGCCTTTTGCAGTCCCTTCGTGAAATCCTTATGCATCTCTTTCAGCTCCCGTAGCTGCTCCGCCTGACAGTGTGCTTGCTCCCGTAGCTGCTCTGCCTGACAGCGTGCTTGCTCCTCTTGGCGGCGCGCTTGCTCTTCTTGGCGGCGCGCTTGCTCTTCTTTCAGCTCCCGCAGCTGTTCTGCCTGACAGCGCGCTTGCTCTTCTTGGCGGCGCGCTTGCTCTTCTTGGCGGCGCGCTTGCTCTGCCATCATTTGCTGCAGCTGTAGCAGAAGATCCACCTGCACAGGCTTGGCTTCTGCATCGCTGGTTTGAGCTGCAGCACCCTCTTCCCTCACACGCTGCGCTTCTGACATTGAACGGGTACTCACTCCTCTTACGTCCTGCGGCACTAGCGGCATTTTTCTCCAATCCCACTTCTGACACCAAATGTTACGTGCCTGACTATGCGGGCTTGGGTTACGGGATTGGATGAAATGAAACACTAATACCGGTTTTCAGACTTTCTATTGCACTTAAGTTACAGCGTCCACGGAGTTAAGTTATCGGCGTTCCTCTCCAGCAGAGTCCGGCCGACTGACACAACTTTGCCGTTCACGCTGACTTAACTCACTTAACTGACTGCACTGCACTATTTCACTGCACTTCACTATTTCACTCACTTTTCTTCTTTCTCACTTCTTCCTTTTCTTCCGAATCGCTTTAGACTTAGAACTCAACTGCCAGCGGTGAGCCGCAGTTCCGCTTATATACCCCCGGTCAGGTTCTGGAACATTCAATTTCGTTATTCTTTTTGATCGTCATGCCTCCAGAACCTTCCAATAATTTCGTTATTCATTTTTATTTATTCTCTTTCTCGCTCTTTAATTTTTCATTTCTTTCACACAAATAATTCCAGAAAGTTCGACAAAACTTCTATAAACTAAAAAACTTCATGTTTACGGCGGGACTCGAACTCGGGGTCTCTGTGGTGTAATCCACACGCCTTACCGATTACACCAACTCGTGTTGACAATTCACGGCGAAATTTACAATCTCTAGGCAACGTTTGACAACCATCCATTGACGTCATGATGTCAAAGAGTTTGAACCACTTTTCCGTCACAATATTTACCTACCTAAACAGTAGTACATACTTACATGTGGTAAATATTTAATTTCCCTAAGGGGTCTATAGTTAGAATCCTGATCCGTGAAATCTTCAATAGAAATTAGCTGTACGAATTTTATTTGTCTTAAATATAATTGGATTATATCTCAAGTCTCAAGCGCATACTTAAATAAAGTACCTACGTAAATAGTACCTACTTTCTGTCATAGTCAAATACATTTAAAAAAGTAGGTGTCCAAAAAGAAATGACCTATAAATTATTTCGAGATAACAAGTGTGTTATCACCTGTACCAATTCAATACCGGTATTATACTGTAAATTTTGGGATGTTACCTAAATATATTGCACAGCCGCTTTTTTGTAGCCATCCGAACTTGGTCGGGTTATGTAGGTTTTCGATGCTTCGTCAGTATTATAATTGTTTTTCTTTAATTACCGAATTTAATGACATGAAATTTTGCATGTGAATAGTTGAATGAATACACTAATTATTGGCATACATTTTACCATGCAATTCATTTAGAAAGTCGTGATATTTGACTGCTTTGTACACAGTGATCTATTCATGGTAAATTTGTCCTATAACTATTTAATTACTAACGGAACATCATTGATACTTGGCAACATATTGCAGACACTTACAAGGTTTGTAAAAACGTGAAAATCTAGACCCCAAAGTGCATACTTTAAGAACTAAGACCTAATAAGCGTATTTTACGTTTATATTTTTATCTTTTAAACCCTACGATTTTTTCTAAATCTGTTTTTTAAACAAATATAAACAAATTCAAAACAACGTATGTAAAAATCTACAGCTCTCTATGTAAGCGCTTTATATGAAAACTAGCTAATGGCCAAACGTTCGCGCAGCGGAAACTTGAATTTCTCCGAAGTTTATGCATGCACTAGTTTTATTCATACATACACAATTACACACAAATACACACTAATTTTTGGATACATCTCTTTTCTTCTAAAGTCTATGGATTAAAAAAAGTTCCGCCAGGACAACGTTCGCCCAGCGGAATCAGTTTTTGGTGAATTTCTCCACAATGGTTGCGTGCACAAATTTTTTTTACCATACACAATTATACGACGTCATACACTAAATATCTGCATAATTAAAATCTTTAAATTCAACAACATTCCGCTGCACGAACGCACGCGTTGATCGCTGCTTTCATAATCGAACATCCTTTTCTTTTTGGTTAGGTACTCTTTTATTCCTAAACTCTTTTGGCAGGTTATAACAGCTTCGCTCGTTAAATTTCCGAACATCAGACAGGGATTTTTCAAATCCTGTTTCCCGATACTCTTTTATCCATTCACAAAATGTGTGTAAATGTTATGTAATATTAGTAAGGATTTAATAAAAAAAAACAAGACGGCTTTTAAATTATGACAGTAACGAAAACGATTGTTTTCCTTAAACTACTGATAATAAACCTTACGTGACAGTTATTTTTCAGTAACTAGATATGTATGAATTAAGATTAAAAAAATACTAAGACTAATAACTGTTTGAGAGAGAAATATTTTGATTAATAACAGTTTTCTTTACTAATAAAAACGAAATTATTTTTTCTTAGTGACTGTACATGCGCGACCATTAGAAAGAGCTAACTTCAGGCCGGTCAAGTAAGATCGCGCGTAATGTACATTTCTATTGTTATGGGCCTTGCGTTGCGACTTGCGTACTTTGATTTGATTGGTTGTCTTCCTAGTAAGGAAAGTAAACAAAATAAAACCAGGGATTCCCTGCACGATTTTTATTTATTTATTAAGGCATTGGAACTCTGGTCGGTCGGCGGCAAATGTTTCTAGCCTAAGAAAACATGTTTCACAACAGTTCTCTCCTAAAAATTATAACAGTTCATAATTGTCGATTAGGTATTTCAACAAGGAAAATCAATTGTTGAGCTCGATAAGCTCAAAAATGACGCATTAGATAAAATTTAAACGCTTAGCGGGAAGTTGCACGGATGGCCTTTAAGTGAATTGTTTTACAATTTTTTTTTATATTTTTTTTCGCTTTAAAAAGTTTCGAGGCGCGAGGCCCTTTGTACCGCGAGGCCGTAGGCGGTGGCCCACGTCGCCCACGCCTTACGCCGCCTCTGGTTACAGCGCGTGGGAAGTCGTACCGGCAGGCGGCCATACGCGCGACGGCTGGTGTTGCGCACGTCGTGGGTAGGATCCGGCGGCTGGGCTTAGAGCTGGCATTGCACAAATCGGAGGCCCTGTGCTTTCATGGGCCGAGGATGAGGCCGCCTCAAGGATCCAGCATTATAGTAGGAGGGGTTTCCATCGCTGTTGAGTCCACGATGAAGTACCTCGGACTCGTTCTCGACAGTCGGTGGAATTTCGGGCCGCACTTTACACGGCTCGCCCCCCGGTTGATGGGCGCCGCTGCTGCGCTGTCGCGCTTGCTGCCCAACCAGGGGGGGCCCACCTCCTCCTGCCGGAGGCTCTACATGGGGGTCGTACGGTCGATGGCGTTATACGCTGCGCCAGTATGGGCGGACGCCCTGACGGCCCGCAACATCGCCGCGCTGCGAAGGCCACAGCGCGCGATGGCCGTCAGGATAATCAGGGGATACCGTACGATCTCCTTTGAGGCAGCGAGCCTCCCTAGCCGGATCCCCGCCCTGGGACCTCGACGTAAAACTCCTCGCGTCGCTCTATTGGTGGCGCGCGGAGGCAGTCGAGCGGGGCGAGCGCCTGGTGCCTCGACAGGTTGAGGCACGCAGGGCGGAACTCCGCCAGACCTTAATGGCGGAGTGGCAGACGCGCTTAGCGCAACCCACGGCGGGGCACGCCGCTATAGAGGCGGTAAGGCCCGTTCTAGAGGAGTGGCTCAATAGGAGCCACGGCGCCCTCAGCTTCCGGCTGACGCAGGTGCTTACCGGACACGGGTGTTTCGGGAAGTACCTGTGTCGCATAGGTCGGGAGCCGACGTCTCAGTGCCACCATTGTGGTGATTGCCGCGACGATACGGCGCTGCATACCTTGGCGGAGTGCCCAGCTTGGGCCGAGCAGCGTCGTGACCTGGTCGCGGCCGTAGGTGCTGCGGGAAATCTCTCGCTTCCGGCTGTAGTGTCTACTATGGTCGGGAGCGAATCAGGGTGGAGTACCGTCGCTACCTTCTGCGAGGCCGTGATGCTCGCAAAGGAGGCGGCGGAAAGGGAGAGAGAGGCTGCCTCCTCTCTCCCCTCCCGCAGCAGACGCACTAGACGTCGTAGGGTGGCCGACCTGCGGCCACCGTAGGGCGCGGCCTGTGGACGACAGACTCGGGGCGTCTTGTCGTCTGACCACCATCAGGCCTCGAGGCGGCGGCGCCGTGTTCCGCGCGCGCCTCATAGTGGAGTCCTGCGGTCGGGGTGACGGCCGCAGTGGGTGACGGGGCCCGCCTTACCATCTGGCGGGCCAACACCCGTGGGGGGGATACGACGAATGCTTCGGCGATACCCGCCCCTCCGACACATGGGTTATTGGAGGAACACCGGGTTGGTTTTTAGTCAGTAAGAGTCTGACAGTACCCTTCGCCCTTCCCCGAAAGCGATGGAAAAAAAATGAGATGAGAAGCGAAAGGCAAATTGATTGTAAATTTATATAGGAGAAATATTTGACCAGTAATACGAGCGTGAGTAGACATCGAACTAAGTAAGTTTTGTTGTGCAGCGTGGGAGGCGGTTCCTGCAGAGAGCGGTGGGGCCGCGGGGGCGGCGCCCGAGGGCTGGGCGCAGTTCTCCGACGACAACGTGCTGGGGGCGCAAGACCCCTTCGCCCCGCAGCCGGCGGGCGGCGCGCCCCCGACGCCGCCCGCGCTGGCCGACGACGAGTTCTCTCCGTTCTGGTCGTACACGGAGTCGCAGGGTGAGTGCAGGTCCGAGCCGGCCCCGGCGCAGCCCCGGCAGGGCTCCGTGACAGCGCGGCCTGTTGCAGAGTCGGGGCTGGAGGCCGGCATGCGCGGCCTGGAGCTGGGCGAGGCGGCGGCGGGGCCGGGCGCGCCGCGCATGGACGACGCCTGCAGCGTCGAGCTGGCCAACAACCTGCTGACGGCCATGTCGGCCATGTCGGCCGACGCCATCGCCAACATCGTCAACGCCAACCTGACGGACGCGGGCCCGCCCAGCTGATCCGCCCCCGCGCCCGGCTCGTTGCGATGCTCTCCTTTAGATTTGTTCTCATTCAAATTCTCGTAACGTGCGGTTCCGTGAGACTATGCTGTGACCGATCCCCGTGCCCTGGCGGTATAGGACTGCATTGTGATTGTCAGTGATGAACTACTCGTAAGGCTCGCCAGTGATTACGAAATTTGCATTTATATATATATATCGAATTCGATGTGTCTTACAAGTAAGTGTTTTTAATATAAATCAGGGAAGAAATCATACTTAAGTATTTCCTAATCATATACTTCTAATCATTACTAGTTTAAGTAAAATAATACAAATATCATAAACATTTAAATATATTAATATTGAACAAATTACATAGAGATAGACTGTCTCTCCGTGTCTCCGCCACGCGCACTCTGTGTGCACAGTGTGACCATATTGTGGGCATAGTTTGGTCATAGTGTGGGCACAGTGTGGGCACTGTGTGAGCACAGTGTGGTCACTGTGTGGGCACAGTGTGGGCACAGTGTGGGCATACTGTGTGCACAGGCTGCGAACACAGTGGCAACGTGTATATTTGTATATAGTACATATAATTTGGACAATTATCGAGCTTTACCCCGTGTATTAAATTGTTTAATGTCGTAGTGAACGTTACAGCGCCAGCCCGGCGTCACCGCGCCGACTGCGCTCTCTTGTTGTAGAGTTGTAGGCTTGATCTCAGCGCCGCCAGTAGCCAGTAGCCGGCCGCCAGTAGGCAGGCCCCGCTCTGGCTGCGAGTGGTCCGGTTGCTGGAATGTTCGCTTCCCGCTTAGACATAGTTTCGTGAACATATCCCTCGATATATCAATACGTTAGTATTAGTTGGTTTCGTTCCCAACACAAGGATTGTGCAAGAGGTTTTAGTATTACACAGCATGTCTGGTCGGTGCCAAATCTCGCGAATACTTGTTTGATTCCTGTTTAAGCCAAAATGTGACTCGGGATGCGCAATATATATTAAATATAATGTTGTTTTGTTGAATAGAGTAGCATACGGCGAGTGTACCCGCCCCCGCCCTACGACCTGGTACTCTAGCCAAGCCCTGGGAGGTCATACGTAATATTGTATACATTGCCGCACATACATAAACACTTTCATTTTTCCATTTTTATACACATTGCCCAGGTGTTGGGTAGAGTATCGGGAGCGTGCACACTGCCGGCTACATGGATACAGTAAGCCGTAGCATGTACCCGGCCGTGTCTGGGCGCTGGGGCAACGTAATGTTTACAATTGGTGCAATATAATTGTATGCAGCGAATATTTATAGATTGTCACACGAATGTACACCTTAAAGCGAGTTGTCTTGTATCTGAAATGTATACGTGTGTGCCTGTATAGTGAGTCGTTAACATTTCAACGTACCGCAGACATATTGAAGTCCATATCCTGTACTGTACTACCGTAGCGCGCACTCACCCGGCCGCGGCACTCCTAGTACATAAGTGAATGTTGTATCTCCGAGTACCGCTAGTACCGCTGGTACTGCTGGTACTGCTGGTACTGCTGGTACTCCTAGTTAGCATCTGACGCTGTGAACGTAACTTGTATTAGTGCAATTAGTTGCCTTTGGGTCTTGTTGTCAAATTGTATATTTAACTAAATGTAAGCGTGTAGGTAATTGTTGATTTCTTATCGTAGCCCGGTGCACGTAAACTGTTTGTAAATAGTGGTCCCTGACCATGTCGCCCGACCTGCGGCCCTCACTTCAGCCACGAGTCTACAAATTCGGTGGTTTTAGATAATTTACAAAAACGTAACACAAGATAACTTTTGGATAAATTAGTCGAGTTTCTTAGTGAAATATACATGTTAGTGTTTTGTATTGGGCGAGAGTGATAACATATTGTGATCCTTGCGACTGCAAGTCTCGGTTCGCTTGCACGAACACTTTGGACGACTTATACAATGTACAGCATTTTGTGATAAACTGTACGTTTTGGATTTGTACTTCAGCTACCGCGACCGTCCCCACGTTCTGCTTACCTCGTCTATCTACTTGGAGACCTCATGCTTTGTACAACTTGAACTTGTATCTGCCGACTGTAGCCAACTTTGTAAATCCTTTTTTACTTTTGCTGAACTTGTAAAGAGTCGAGGTGTAAGTAGAGCAGTCGGGCTGTGTTGGCCCGCCTCGACCTCTAGCTGTACGCCATTTGTCACAGAATTGTAACGAAGTTAAGGTGTAAAGTGGTTGTATGTTTGGATTAAAACATTTAATGTGAATGTGTAGTCAAAGCATTGACTGCGACTTGTGATGACTGGAGGCTGTAGAATGTCCATCACGCGTCGTGCAGACGAGGACTGTGCCTTCCGGGCGCCAGCGCCGCGCCCGACACGCCCGAGACATAATAAATGCTCGTATGTATTCTATTGTATTTATATTATAGTTAAAGTTTTATTAAAAAAGTTGCTCAATGTTTCTTGTTTCACTGGTACACATGTCCAATCAACATACCCTGACCTCAGCACCCATTGGTGACACACGTAACCCGGATGTTATCGGTAAAGTTAAACGAGGGACATGTTCAAGGACCCGACTCTGGTGCCCAAATAAAACAACTTTTTCCATACAACCACTGCGGGAATCTAGAAACATTTTATTATTTGTCTATGCAAAATGATCAATGGAAAATGTTTGAGCACCAAACTCGGTTCCTTCAATTGTCCCTTTGTTTAACTTAACACACTGTATTTAACAATAAGTGTGGGAGAGCCAAGCTTCGGCACGAATGGGTCGGCTCGACCGGAGTGATACCACGGCCTCACAGAATACCGGCGTGAAACAACGCACAGCGTTGTGTTTCGCCGTGTGAGTGAGGTTACCGGAGGCCCAATCCCTTCCCCTTCCCAATCCTTATATCTGCAACTCCTATCTCCAAAAGGCCGGCAACGCACTCATAACTCCTTTGGTGTTGCGGGTGTCCATGGGCGGCGCCGATTGCTTACCATCAGGTAATCCATCTGCTCATTTGCCGACTTATACCATAAAAAAACTTCCGTTAATCAGGTACAAGAACTTCTACCAATATCTATTATTAACGCATGGATCGAACAAGTTTGAATTGAGCGCATCACGAATGTGGCATACAAGAGATTATGCTATAGAATAGCACATAATTATGTACCTTATCGTTCTTACGACTTACCATTACCTTTTGATTTACTGTAAGTATTTAGGTATATTCTGGTGTTATAGCAGCTACTTTACATTTGAATACTCTGAATGACCCTATACTATACGTATATTCGGCGCCGACTATACCTACTGGTCCGTTTTCATGGAAAGAACCTTTGTTTGCAAAGCATTTTTTAATTTCTTTCTGACTGTGTTGCGAAGTCTCTAAAAACATGCGACGAATAAGTAAAAGGTTTTTTTAGAAACTGACATGAAAGCATCTTTCTATTTATCGATAACTTCGTTTCAAATGACGTTATGACTGGAGATCCAAATGTAAATTTGGAAAGTTAAAATAATGCATCAGCGCCAAGCAAATGTTTCCACGTAGAAATAATGAATAAAACAAGTGTGTACTTTGATATAATTTTATTTTCATATTTTATAATTTATTTATATATAATGACTATAATAATCATCTACCAAACTAAATAATCAATATAATTCAACAGCATCCATTATATACAATATGTATAGTTGTTTATAACCCTCGTTTCTGAACGATTAGAAAAGAGACACCCGTCGTCTAATCATACAAAATCATATTGAAATGAAGTCTACACATCATCGTTACATAACAAGTAATAATTTGCCACAAGATTTTTGTTTCTTTTATTATTTATTTACAAATACTTATATTTATATTTTAGTCCCATAATTCCCAAATGAATCGTCAGCGCGTGTAATGCAGGCTGGCGACTAGAGGTCACTACATGCGACGTACTCCCACTATAAGTAACAAGTGATAGAATTGAGAAACTTAACTTGTACATAGTAACATAGTTTAATAATATTGCACAGAGCTTGAGGTACGTGCGTGCCGCAGTGACACGAGGACTAGACGGGCCAGTGCTCACAGTAACTATCAAATCAATTTTTATGTATTAACAATGAAACTTGGTTTCAATAATTATATTTCTATGATAAAAATAAATTCTATTAGCGAGCTTTGTATGTATAGAAAGTGTCGGCTATAGATTAGTCCTAGAGAGTGATCATTCCTATGCATAGTGTTACATGTCGCAGAGAAATAATACTTCCACTCTTATAATATATACTATATTTAAAGGTAAGTAGAAAACGTGGAAAGCGGCATCTCAAAACTATATGATCTTACCGTAAAGTCAGATAAGGTGATATATAGGTACCACTGATATGCCATCGAATACAATAGGGCGGCGGCGGGGCGCGCCAACCGAAACAAGCGATTTCGTTAAAATCCGCTTTAGCCTTTTAGTCTGATTGAGCCATAAAATTCTGTAAAGTTTACTATGAAAATATTCCTTGAATAAAATCGTCCGAGACGCCTACGTAACAAAATAATTTGGTTAAAACAGTGATATCGTATTATTAAACTTAATACAATACGATTAAATATTTTGAAAGTATTACATAATTAATTATAACAGCATGAGAAGAGTACACAGTTTGGCATCGTCTGAACACGGGGCTCATCAGCAAATAATAGTAATTACACAGAGAAGTAGCACAGCTATACAATAGCAAGGGATACAAATTGAAGCTACGTAAGTAAGGCCATCGACTGGGACATCGGCCGGTGGCACTGTACAGTTTATTGCCATGCGATACACCGATACACTACTACTCGACTGCCAGCGCCGACAGACCGGCCCACTGCACCACGTGCCGCGCGGGCCAGTCCCTCGCCACTCACTTAAACAATACCGCCGATATACAATGTAGCTTTATATTATTATTAATTTACACGTGATAGTTATCTCTTTATTTTAATCAGTTTAATTTTAGCTAGCAACACCGATACGACACCGATTGGTCTGGTTTAAAGTATTGCTATAACTGGACATATTCTCGTACATGCCTCGCAATATACAATAAGGGCTAACAGTAACAGCAACTGAGTGACGGGTCGCTCGCACCCACAGGGGGCGGCGCCCAGTGTGTCGAACTGAAAGGAAACTACACGGCTGCTGTCAAAGTAATCTCCAGTGAGAAGTAACAAAAATTATTGTCATCCAATGCTTAAACTTCCAATCTTTATAATTTATTATTTTCTTTATATTATTTACCTACTTTATACAGATCAACATCGTCGACTATCCTTACACATTACACTTTATTTGTATCTATAAATGTACATCTACGTGTAGGTCATAGCAACAATGAAATAATCTCCTGGAGCCGACAGCTGGCAGCACTGGTCGTGTCGTTACTTTATGTCCTGACGGCGGCGACCGAGGACCTTCCGTGACTACAAATAGTTGGTCGTAGCATTCTCAGTGCCATGCTGCAGCTAGCGGCGGGGCGGGGCGCAGTAGTAGCGCGGAGCTACTGTAGGTATTACTTGTATAAAAAGAGTTTTAAGTAAATTAGTATTTAAGAATGGTTTCGATTTATTTACATTATCACATCGCTTGACCGATTGCGGAGCGAGCCGGCCGGGGCGTCGCGTGCACTCAACAATGGAACGAGCGGCGCGGCTACATTCTCAGGAGTATGGAGAGTTTGTGCGTTCGTCGATACCGTGTCTCGCCGCGAGCCGGGGGCCGGGGCCGGGCCGGGCTGCGGGCTGAAGCGATCGTCACGCTATTACAATATCAGAATAAAGCACTCTGTGGCATTCGTCAACGACAGCCGGAACCCTCGCGGAGTGGAACCCGTACCGTGGCGGGCGCTCAACCCAGTCCCGGGGCGCGGCCGGCTCACAGCTGGTACCACTTCTTGTCCTTGTACTTGAGCATGAGCTGGTGCGCGGACGAGGAGAACTCAGCGGCCTGGTTGTGCATGCGCTCGGTGCGGTCCTCCAGCTGCGACAGCTTGTCCCCGCGCTCCACCACCAGCTGGTGGGCGCGCGCCACGTCGGCGGCGGCGGAGCCCGCGCGCGCCCCCAGCGCCTCCAGCGCGGGCCCCGTGCCGCCCGGGATGTGCTTGGCCACCGTGCGCAGGGGCTTGCCGCTCGACTCGCCGACTGCGACCACCGGGAAACACGAAAAATGCACTCTTATAAACTTTGATATATCAAATAGCCATGTCAAATGTTCAAATGTAGCCTAAGTTTCCACAAGAAGCCTGTCTAGCCGTTAAATACTGACATAGTTCTTCCCGGTCGAGAGGCCTGGCGCCGCCGCCGAACAGCCCCCGGAAGAAGCTCTCCTTGGGCGGCTCGGGCATGTCGCGCGGGAGGAACAGCTCGCCTATCATCTCATTCAGCTGCTGACTGTAACACGAGAACAGGACGTGACGTCACCACGAGTTTAATGAGCAGTGACCTCTACTGTACACACCGGTGAGCGAATGACCATACTGACCAGAACTCGGCGTCGATGGTGAACTTTTGTACTTCAGTGGGAGACGCCAAGTACAGGCCGTGGCCCCTGTTGCTGAAGCAGAAGGTCTTCGCAATCCTGCAAATCCCACACGAGGAACGTTTTACAAGAGTCGCGCGGCACTAATTAGTGTTTCTATGTTGCGTATATATTGTTCATAGTCGAAGAAGAAAGAGATGTAGACGTAGGCCAAGAGTGAAGTTGTTACAGCGGGGGAAAGAGAAAGTAGACTCGTAGGCTGAGAGAGAAGTTGTTACAGTGGGGGAAAGATGTCTATCAATTGAAACGTCTCACCTGGTGCATCCTTGCGTTCCGCAGTCGGGAGTCTATGGGACAAATTTTATTCTAACATACAAGCGTAACTATGGAGTTCTATCGCGACTACTCTATGACAGGATCAACATTGAAATGAAAAGTATAACATCCAGAAGCGGGCATGCTGCAAGCAGAGAACGAGTAAGAACAAGACGAAACAGAGCAGAGTAGCAGCCCAGCCAGGAAGTAGGAGACTAGGAGAGGTCTCACAGAGTGAGTGTGGGGTGAGTGCGTGTCACTGTACACGAGTGTGTGTGTGTGTGTCTCGGGGCACAGCGCCGGACCAGCACTACCGGGACCGGGAAGCACGTGCAGGGCAGCTCCGGGGGCAAATCATTCATCCTGCGCTGGGGGCCCGGACATGTGTCGCCATGCACAGATAATTTCGGTTCGTGCCATGTTTCGCATCTATCGCCAATCGGTACTCGCAGTAATCCCAGAGCGCGCAATGATTTGCCCGTGGCCGAGCGGGAACATCAATGGTAGAGACAGGCGAGGTCGGGGCGGGCAACTAGGGGCTCGGGGATGAGGGGACGAAGCGACTGTCAACGTTACATGAACATGTCTAGTAGGCAACAGAGGCCGGAGTGAGCGACTCCACATGACAAGTGACGGTACGTGGCTAACGCATGTCATCTGCATGGACGGCGACTTACTGGTCGGTGTCCTCGTTAACTATGAGCTGCTGGCCCCATATGGACAGCATTGGGTCTACGATACCCCTCTGTTTGGACTGTGTCTGGAAGCTACCAGGAACACAGACAGCAGTGAGCGCGTGATCGCCGGCGCGTCCCGCCCTTGTGCGGCGCCCCCGGCCTGGCGCCCGCAGGGGCCCGGGGCCCGGACTACCGCCGGGGCCCGGGGCCCGGGCGCCAGGCCGGGGGCGCCGACACTGGGCTCTCACAAAGGCGAGGCACGCGCACGTTAGTAATCCATCATTGTTCTAAGGGTGAGAAGTTAGATGTAAGAGATGCAGGGCAGTACACACTATCGTAACATGGTCGGAGGGCTAGCGCGGGGCGTGTCGGTTGCATTCCGTGGCGTAGTGTGGGTAACCGGTGTGTATTTACATCCACAGACATTTGCAGCACCAAATAAACAGTTGCTTCGTTACAGAGTGGTACGGTGTTCTCTCATAGAGTCGCCAAGCGGCGCATTGTATGGAGCGTGTGTCGTGTTAGAGCCTTCCATTATTTTATTTTCAACTGAAAAATAGAAGAGTGCCAGACATCGGAAGCACAGGTGGTGCTCGACAGATTTGCAAAATTTTGTCTAGTTCTAGTAGCCGCGAGTCGATGCGTCGTGTCTCAGGTATAAGATGACACCGTGTCGCTTGTTTGGTGCAGACCCGCGTCGCGCGGCCCGCCCGGGGTCGGCCGGGGTCGGCCGGGGGCCGCGAGCGGTGTCTCGCACCATACAAGGCTACGTTTCTAACATCGATCATTACTGTACAGGAAGTCTGTCGTTAGGCTCCCAAATGATAAAATAGCGAATGATCGGTACAGCTAACTTTATGACCAATATAATGAATGCGATAACCGTAAACATGAAATATCTCCTGTAGCCCAAGTAGCATTCAACATGATCAAACTGCGAAGCTAATGATAAAAGATAATTACTATATTATAAAACAAGCTGTTTATCATTTAGTGCCTTCGTTTGGTGCATAGAAATTGTCTAATAGTGATGTGTGGCGCCGTCAGTGAGTCGGCGCGCGACTCTGGCGCGGAGTCGGGCGGCGCCGCGGGCCAGGAGCGGGCCGGGCCGGGGCGCCGCCCGACTGGCCGGACTGTGCCGGACTAGGCCGGACTAGGCCGGACTAGGCCGGACTGTGCCGAGCCGGCGAGCACGTACCCGAGCTCCGACAGCGGCAGGAAGTCCACGTCGACCAGGGGCCGCAGGGACGGCAGGCTGTACGCCACCAAGTGGCCCGTCGACAGGTAGTTCACCAGGCATACACTGTCTGGAAGCGCAGCACTCGCGTTATTATCTGTTTCGATGTAATTTGTAAAATTCCTGAAAGCCTCGTTATTGATAATAGTAGTGTTGTACCTTTCAAGCTAACAGTTTCGGCCTTGACGACGAAGTCGGTCTCTACGATCTGTTGCCTGTAGACGCAGTTCTGACTGGGCAGCGCCACGACGCGCGCCTGCTTCTCGGAGGCCACGACCACGAACTGGCGGTCCCCGGCCGTGTCCGCGCCCGGAGTGGGGCTCATGCGGCTCCCACTGCTGGACGAGCTCTGCTTCGTGGGCGTGCGCTCGCGTCGATCCCTCACCTACAAATGTGTTTGGGGTATTTGAGACGGTTCCGGTCGGTTCGGTTCTATCCTAAAGTTGTCATGTCATGGGTTCCGAGAACTATTTTAGGGCTTTCGATTTTAAGAATTTGCATTAACATGGAATTTTATTTAAACGGATGAGCTAGATCAATGCATCAATATTATTTGAGACCGTCTCCCTTTAATTGTAACTCATTCACAACTGGCTCGACGTGAGACTAGTTTGGACGTGGGTTATCCTCCACACAGCATAAAGAGTCAGGAACTGGGCTGGGCTGGGCTGGGGGTGCAGTGTGCTGCATGGCGTCTACTTACATCTTTACTGTCGTCCCTCCAACTTTCGTAAGAGTAAGGTATTAAAGCACCATTGCAGTCAAGAAATGACATAGTTAGGATTGAACCCTTTAACCTAAATAACGGACCACCTGCGAACAAAAACTTTCATTAATATTGGATAACAGAATATATTACATAATAATATAGTCCAAAGGTTTCGATGAAACTTTGTATGTGAAGAATTATAGGGACGAAAAATCTATTTAGCTGTGTTAAATTTTTTGAAAATAGATAAATCCAAAAATATCAAGCCAAGCTCAGTAGTTTTGAAGGGCGGAGTTTAAAATGAGCATACAGACCGCTGGTGGTGACGTGAACCGGTTGCGTATGCCGGAGCTCTGCCTCGGGCAGGGTGATGGTCAGCGTCAGCACGGAACCCAGCGTCGTACCGATCCATAGCGTGGGAGTCAGCGCCGTGGGGTCTGCGGCGAGTTCATAATTATATAGTTACTTATAAGTGCACTGACACGTTAGCATTTAGAAGTCGTGTTTCCAACTTAACTTTTCCACAAGGAAGGAGTGATTGGTTACTGATGGAATGATTATCACCTGATTCTAGTCACTGTGTTATTTGATAATTTTAATGTGCGAGTGAAAAATAAAAAATATATTCTTACCAGACTTTTTAGTGTAGCTGTCAGCAAAGGCGAGGCACTGGATGCCCTCCTGCGAGATGTTCTCCAGGCTGGACATGGAGCTGGAGCGCGAGCGTGAGAAGGAGCTGTCCAGCTTGTCTACCCGGCCGGTTGGCAACATACACACACACGGATTACTGCGTCCGCCGGGCACGAGCCGCGCGGCGCGGCGCCGCCGAGGGACCACTCTACTCTACGCCACTACACTACGGACCACCGTGCCGGGCTTCAGCCTCGCGAGAAACAAACAAGATGCTCTTTCGCTATAGCACACAACGTATAGGTCCACAACGATTAAACTGAATATGCTATGTTATCTCAGTGGTCCGCAGTCAGAATAGAAGTGGTCGAGTCCCTCGCCGGCGCCGCGGGTGCACTAGTCTACACGGTAGGTAAGGTTGCAGACTAAAGCGAGCTCAGCTCACGGCTTAGTGTTATTGGTGCTGTTGTGAAATTAGCTGAAATTATCAGTCGAGTGCCATACACCAGTGCGGTGGAAATATAAGTGGTTAATATTACAAGGAATTAATATAGTAATACGAGTAGACCATGCTCAGAAGGTAGTGAGGCGATGCATGCCGGCGCCAATCTCAGCTTATTTGCACAACGTCTTGTTGATGTCGAGTTATGTTTAATATTGTTAGTCGCCGATCCTCCACGGTTAGTGCTGTGACCCAGACATAGAATGGTCCCGGTCGCGCCTTAATGTTGCTGCATCCGTACAGTTACCGGGACACGTTAGTATGTGACCGTAACGAGCACATCGATAAACAGCTCTAGGATGAGTTAGTACAGCAGATGAGAAGCGAACCGACCGCTACGGGCGACTCAACAGAACGAGTGCAAGCTACGAGCCAACGAACGCAAGGTGAGTGGGAGAGCACCAGGGGGCAGCACTGAGGGTGCGGCCAGCCGACGGGGCCCAGGCGTGCGCATGCAGCTACACTCTACTACGGATAACGTACGGAAGCATACAGAACAGCCGAATATAGTACAGCCAGCCAAAACGAGCCATACTAACATTTGGTCGGGCTAGAAAAAGAAATAACAATAATGTACTGGACACGGAGCAGCGGAGCAGCGGAGCGAGTATTCAGGTACGGCTAGATACAGCTAGATACAGCTAGGTACAGCAGACGGCAGGCGCTGCCACACGAAGGCAAATAAAGAAAACGTGATCGCTCGGGAGCGCAACGGTAATGGTCATGTGACTCGCACAATGTGGAAAGCCTCGCTTGTAGAATGCACATATATAGGTATATAACATATAGATATACTGTAGGGCTCGTTCATCGCAACAATAACAGTGATACAGTGATAGACATAAAATAGTTTTGAGTAGTAAGTCACCTTTTAGTTGTACAAGTATGAGTCATGCCAGTCAGAGATTGGAAACGAGAGTGCGCCGACGGTAGTGTGTGCGGTACATTACAAGACAGTCACAGCCACGTCGCACTAGGAGCGGCTACGGTGCGTCACGCACAAGCGGAAATAAACGAACACCATACCAAAGAACAAAAGAATAAATGAAACGATGCAAATGTTGTTTGGGTACCATTGGGTTGCATAATGTGTAAGTACTCCATAGATGCGAGAGTCTGCGGAACAGTGGGTTCTGTACCGACAAACAAAACCACAATATGTTACAAGCACGAGCACAGGGCAGCGGGCGCCACGCGGCGCTCGCCGGGCCCCGCCGGGCCCCCACTTAGGGGCCCGGGGGCCCGGCGAGCGCTAAGCGGCGTCCGTCTCTCCACATACTGTACAACAAGAGTAGTTCTCAAGCCGACATGGACATACATGAAACACCATCAAACATGAGGAACTCATTCTAGCTCGGATTCGGAATGACAACCAAGGATAAGTCTACTCGGATGTTACAACTAGAACCAAATAATAACTTAAAAGGTGAGGAATATTCCAATGGTTACCTATTAAATGATTCCGATCTGAAATTGGAAATATTTCAAATAAATAAACATGGAAGTAACAGAACAACACATGCTTCAGCAAATAATAAAGGGCCAACAAAGATGTTTACAGTTCCAGTCTGCGAGAGACAGGCGTTCTGCAGCTTATGTCCATTTAACATTGGCAACACTAAATATTACATGTATGTAAGGTTTGGTGATGAATCACCAGCATTATGTTACGAACAAATTTATGCGAGTTTGAAGATGTCTCAAGCTTACAGTCACTGTGTCGGACCAAGAGCTGGCAACACTTTCAGGTTAGAGCTGTCACATTCGCGGACAGTGCCATCTTCGAACTCACAGTAGTCAACATGTTTGAGTATTTAGTAATGGAAAGAAGTATTTCAGTGAGTGTGACAAACCAAAAGAATAAAAAGTTAAATTAACAAAAAATAACGAAGGGATACAAGTGAGAGTAATTGACAGACCTCTGAGCGCGCTTGATCAGCTCACAGCACCGAGTTACCAAACATACAGACAGACAGACAGACAGAGCGTAGCTTCACTTGCTGCGGACAACAACGTCAGCCACAATGCCTTCATTATTCACTTAAGCTCAAAATGCTGCGCGCAATGTGCGGGATGCAACCATGCGCGTGCGCCGGCTCAAGCGAGCGCTCGTCGTCGCCGAGGAAAAGGCATAAAACATAACGAACGAAAGATAAAAACAAAAAGGAAGAACTGCGACTGCCTCAGAACGGAAGGAGACTTAGCCGAGTGGACTCGGTACAAGGTGACTGTACTACCAAAACTGCAATACTGGCGCGTCGTCAGCAGCGAGTGCTGCGGGGCGGGCGGCGCGGCGTAGACGTCGGACGCCGTGGACAGGCACTTGTGCAGTTTGCGGGTACCTTGCGAGCGCGAGCGGCGCACGCGCGAGCCCGCCGCGCCCGGCCCCGCGGCCGCGGCGCCCGGCGCGCCCCCGCCGGCGCCCCCGCCGCCCCCGCCGCCCGGCCCGTTCATCTACAACACAACACGCAGTCGCACCGCCACCGTACGACCCGACCCGCGGTCACACACACCCTGATCGTTAGGACGACGTGATCTCTGTGCCAGACAGTGGATTAGTCGCAGGTTTAGTGACGGCAACTGCGGTGTTAGTCGTGGGACTGACTGGACTCATACCTATGTGCCGCGCCACGCTGGCGGCCTGCTCGTGCGCCTGGTCGCCGTTCGAGTCGCGGACGGGGCACAGCCACGCTACTAACTCCCCTGGGGAAAGTCGGGGCATGAGCGAGCGCATGTACAGGACCCGTGCTCGAGATGACGCGCTAACTGATGTGAAGCTACAAGCGAGAGTGGTGCCATCTATACCGACTACTCAGCTCGTACCATTAGCACTGAACATCATCTCAGACATTGACAACACAGAGATCACCTACGGTTTGATGCAATCAGTTAATTAATCATTGTTCAATTACCGAGAAAGTCAGCGAATAGATATTTAAGGCAGTTAGAGTCTTCGTCGGAGGAGTCCTTTTCCTTGGGAATAAAAGAAATATATACATGAGCAGCCTGTCCTTACAGATTACGACTTACAAGTAGGCGACAGACACGAGCGGCCTTTGTACACGTGACATTATACGGTTATACAATAACTTAACTTATAATATATAATTATAGTACACAATATTTATAAACCAAATTAAATAAAAAGCCAAATATCACAAGAAGCACAAAGCAATCAGAGTCGCAGCTCGGAGTCTCTTACCGTGCCTAGTGACGCCGTCAGTGACCGATAGCTTCTCACGGGATCGTGTCAGTAACAAAATAATTGAATAGGTATCAGTACATCTAACTACCATCACTTCTAGCTAGTCTAGGTCCCGAACGTAAAGGGGCTACGGTATCAGTGAGTTAGAGGAAAAATTGCAAACCATTACCATTCCAGTCGGAGGACGCAACTACTCTAGTACAGCGAGGAACGACTAGTGCTAGCAACGGAGACCGTGGACCCGGCGTCGGTGATGCGTGAATGATGCTGCCATACTTACTGAAGCGGCGCATGAGGCCGCCCAGCGAGCCCGCGGGCCGCTCGCGCCGCGGCACGCCCAGCAGGCGGCGCGGGCCCAGCGCCAGGCAGTCGGGCCGCGCCGCGCCGCCGGGCGCCAGGCCGGGCCCCTCCTGCTCGCTCCAGCGCTCCTGCAGCTCGCGGTGCATGCGCTCGTACATGTCCCCCGGCGGCGACTCGCCGGCGCCCGGCTCCGGGCCTCGCTCCGGCGCACGGTCTGGTGCCCGATCCGGGGCTTCGCAATAGAATTGAGAGTTGCTTTTCTCTGCATTCATCTCTTCGGCATTATTCTCGGAGGGCGCCGCGAATGCCGCCTTGAACTTGAGATCCACCTTAGAGAGCTGTCGTTTCAGATTAAAGTTCTTCCAGGTGGTAGATTTCCTTCTCGTGTCGAGTTTGGGCTTATCGTCAGGCGCGGCGTCGGTCGCGGGGTCGGGCGGCGCGGCGGGCTCGTCGGGCTCGTCGTGCGGGCTGGCGCCGGGGCTGGCCCGCGCCGCGCTGTCCTCCAGCTTACAACGGATGGGAACAAACATAAAGGTGAAGTATAGGCCGCGCTCGAGCGAGCGACCCGTGCGTGGGAAGTGCGGTGCCGTGCCCTACTCTGCACAACTGAGCTACGTCCGACACTGTGGGCGAGCATACCGTGGGGTACGATCCTACTCCTGGCCAAGCGCACGCAGACAATCTGTGAGCTCGACAGGTAACAAATATTCTATTTAAGATGTATGCAATAGGAGAGTAAGACAGGCCGAGTGTAAAGAATATCTAACGATGCCATGCCATGTCGCTACTGAGACAAGCCGGGTGAGGCGCTACTGCTAAATTACTTTAAATTAATTACAAAATTATAAAAATAAAATATAGGGGTACGGCGGGCTTCCGCCAATGCAAATCATAAGTAAGTAAATAAAAAAGCAAATCAAACGTAATGTGAAGTAACCGTCAGCCGCGCTGTCTCCTGCCGCGGGGCCCGCCGGGGCCCGCCGGGGCCCGGCTAGCTAGCGACGTACGCGTCGTGTCTCTTGTAATATAATCGTCGAGTAGTGAGTGTTCCGGAGTAGGGGAGGCCGCAGTTACCTGGTCCAGGCTGGGCGAGCGCTGGCGCTCGGGCTGGCGCGGCGGCGGCGCGGGCGCCAGGTACAGCGCGGCCGGCGCGTGCGCACACACCAGCGCGCGCCGCGACATGTCCACCACCACCACGCCGCGCTCGCCGCCCCACGCCATGCTGCAACACGCCGCCGTCAGCGCCAGCCCGGCCCGCCGCGCGCGGCCCGGGCTGGCTACTCACAGGCCGTACGACGAGTTGATGGTGAGCGCCGCGATGGGGTGCGGCGCGGCCTGCTGCAGCGCCACCAGCGTGGGCTGGAAGCCGGCGGCGCGGCGCGCGCCCCCCGTGCCCTCCGCGCCGCGCACGCGCAGCACGGCGCCGGCCCCGCCGCCCCCGCCCGCCCACACTCCTGACTGCGACCACACCTCCATATTACAGCGGAACTTGTATTTGGTACTAGTATTTGGTGTATGATGTACATAATATATGTAAGTTAAAGTATTGATGTAGACAACGTACTCTCCTGCTCTCTCCGTCTGCGCCGTCCCCGCCGCGGCTGAAGGACATGGACCGCGCGGCGTCGGGCTCCGGCGAGCACTCCTCCTCCAGCACGTCCGATATCATCGGGATCTCCAGCACCTGCACACATACCGGCGGATACAGTCAATACTTTGAATCTTACACGTCGTATCTATATATATGTCGTAGTCTTCTTCTTGCAAGTGAGGTCAGAGATGAGATTGTCGATGGAATAAGTAAAGTAATGTACTGACGTGTGTCTCTGCGTGTGTGTCGGCCTTGCGGAACTTGAAGAGCACGACGTGTCCGTGCGGCAGCGCCACGGCCAGGCGGCGCGACTCGCAGCACAGCGCGATCTGCTGGATGGCCAGCGGGCTCTCCTCCTCGAAGGCCGCGCCCCCCGCCGCGCCCCCCGCGCCTACCGCGCGCCGCTCGAACACTGCAACACCACGCACACCCGGTACTGCCTGATGCTGCCTGATACTAGTGCTGCGGCACCGCGCTCACCTACAATAATGCGCTACCCACCTTTAGAACATTTTAATTTGTACAATATTTGCAAGGTCCCGGCGCTTGCGTCCCAAAACTTTACACTGCCGTCTGCATGCCTGGAACACAGCCAAACAGAATTGAGCATAACTAATTATTAAGATGTTCGAGAACATTCACAGACTGCAGGAGTGCAGCGCCCCTACCCGGTCAGAATGATTTCGTTATAGGAGCAGGACGCGGGCTCCCACTCGCCTCCGTTGATGGGCCACAGCTTCTCGCTGAAGCCTGTCGGCTTTTTATTACCTTGTCGGCCCACTGAGTAGAATGCTGGGATCTGAAAACCAACAAAATTACATTTTAGGGAAGCCGTCCTCCTCTGCGACACAATGCGTTTTGACGATTTTATACATTAGTGTTTAGTGTGGAACGTACCAGGTCTGACGGACAGTCCGCGAAGTATGAGCAGCAAGTCACGGGGGACTCGTGGATGTCCATGGGGTACGGGTTCTCGAAGCAGGGGTAGCCGGGCGACTGCAGGTCGATGACCACCAGGTCGTTCTGCAGCAGCACCACTATCGCGTACGGCTCCTGGTAGTCTGCAATCAACAAGCCACACTAGTAAGCTGGGATGATACGCCGTGACAAGATGTCATTTCTGTATAATGGACATATTGACATAAAGTGTGTGAGTGACTGACCGGCGGTGTGCGGGGTCTCGCAGAGCGTGACGAAGTCCACGACGCTGTGCTCCATCTCGAGCACGGTGGTGGACTTCCCGTTGAGCACGGTGATGCTGTGCGTGCGCCCCGCCTTGTCCGTCGGCAACCCGCCGCTGAATATCACCAGGCTCTCTCTGCAACACCGACACATCCACGTGTAACCTCATTCTTCGCGTACTTATTCTACTTCTACATATATTCGCATAGTTTTGACGATACTTCGAGGTTATACTACATTAACATAAACGTACCCTGTCCTCGAGGTCTTCCATTCCAGTCTGAGGATAGGTTTGCAAGGTTCCAGTTTGCCATCTTTGTTTGCTTTCGCTGTGAATTGTAGGAAATAAATTAGATCAGTATTTACTCATTGGTTCATTGTCTAATTTAGCAAACTGTTCTCGGTAAGTAAATAAATGAATAGTTTTGAAACTTTAGAAGCGACATCGGTAAGTATTGTGGTAGTGTAGTAGTACCGTGTGGGTAGGAGAGGGAGGAGGGCCTGGGCGCGCGCGTGGTCCAGGTGGCGAGCGCGCCGTCTGCGTGCGCCGTCATGAGCTTGCCGTCGTGCTGCCAGGCGGCGGCGCGCACGCCGTCCCCCGGCCCGCCGCCGCCCAGCGCGCCGCGCCACTCCGCCGCGCGCGCGCGCAGGTCCCACACCACCACCAGCCCCGTCTCGAACGCTATCAGCAACTGCAACACGCCACCACAGAATGCAATTACATCATATTTATTTAAGCTTTCAGACGCACAAAAACAGGGGAAACCATTTATTTGTTATCAATTTTCTAGTATTGGGAACCTGATAAATTAACAATAACAAATTTAGAGAAAAGTGTGAAACGGAAGTTGTGAATGAGTGGTTACCTTGCTGGCATCGAGAGGGTTGTCACTAATCTCCACTACAGCGCCCGGGTGGTTCGGTCTCGTGCTGGAACAACGGAACATTCGCTGTAGTAGCGCTTTACGTAAACCACACTAAGCAATGTTTATAGAGGAGGTGTCGGTAATTGGTAGCATTAATGTCACGTGAATGCTTGTCTCATCGGTTTTTAAAACCTACCAAGTTATAGAAAAAACAATTTAGATTCTCTTTGAAATATCTTTTGTCAGAGCTGAAGTGTCCTTCAAAGCAGCTTCAGTGTGGACCATCAAAGCGGATCTGTATCACGTCGCCTCCATTGACGGGGAGTCGCACCGCGCGCCACCACTTGTTGCGACGCTCCCGCTCCCCCGGGGAGGGGGTGGGGGTGGCTCGCCAGCATGAACATCTCGGATTTCGACTTGCACTCACAATTTGTGTGTGTAGGATTGATTACGTCAACCATATTGTGTGATAGGCAATCGTATGTGTTGGTTGTAATAAATTTAATGTTACGTTGTAGCCTTGTAAGTAACCGCTAGCCATCCGAAACAAGGGAGCAAAACTTAGTTAACGCAACAGTTGTATATTTATATCGCCCTATGTATGTTATATAAAGCCGTTTTATTGTGAATACGTGTTAACCTATAATAGTCGTTGCACCTGTAAATGTCACACCCTCGTCAGAAAAAAAGGCATGTACCGTGTCATTATTGGTTGACTTAAATAAAGTCAAAGGCAAATTCGCGAAACGGTTTAGGAGATCTGAGGTGTGAAATATACAAGGCTATCTTTTACAAACAACCCTTGGATAAAGCTGCGATAGCAGTTTGAAATACGGATTACCTTTACTTATATCTCATGCGCTCATTTTACCTGTGTTTTTTAAGCTCTTAACGTTATAATTTATATTAAGATTACAAACAAACGTCGTCTATACTTTTGCGACTCCAGGATAATTCTTTAATAAATTTAATAATACCTTTGTCTGTCAGAGCGTACGGTCCCAACGGAAATCATTAAAACGCCTTTACAACTTTTAATATACTATGGTATTTAACAATGGTGTTGGGTGACAACCCTAGGCGCTTTAATTGTGACTGTAACCCCATTGGCGGAAGTTCGTTACCAAGCGCCAATGAGAGCGCGTTATTTGAATTGCAAACTCGACGCGTAGTAATAGGGTTGCTTCTGCCCGAGGCCATGTTATAACGATCTTTATTGTCTGCGAATTTAGCGATTACAACAATGGTGGCGGCGAGGAAGCTGTCGGACGACAACTTTTCAAAGTAATTTAATATTTTTTGTGGTGAGAATATAAGCTCCATAGTTTAGGGTGAACACTTGGATTGGACAACAATATTTTTTCTTTTTTTTTCTTTTTAAAAAGTTGCCCCACACTAGGATTTTCTGGATTATCATGGGTGCGGTTACAAACATAAAATTTCACATACACATGACACCCAGACCCGGAACAACAACTTGTAAATCACACAAAGAGTTGTTCCGTGCGGGAATCGAACCCGCGACACGCTGCACGGCAGTCAGTTGCCCAGCCACCGCACCAACTGTGCAGTCTTTCAATCTTCTTAATTCTTTAAACAAATTTCATTCAATTGTTGTATGGCTATGATTTACAAATGAAACAGTTGCGAGAACCAATTGTGAGCACGACAGGAGACCCAAAGGAGGCTTCGGTTACATACTGTTTAAGAAGGTATTAAGATTTTAACTGGAGCAATAAAGGTTATGACGTGCACAGGTGTTCCTGTAACCAGGGTTCAGCGATTATATACTGAATAACTTGCAACGTTATGAAACGAGCTCGTCGGGAGTTTTTAATGTTAATCAATCAATTAATAAAATCTGAGACATACTGAGTGCACACAATGAAGTTTCTTCAAGTTGAATGTATTAATATATAGATAGGTATTGCTGTATCTATGTTAGCTGGCATACGCATACTTAATGAAAGAAAATTAAGCTCTTTATCAAGCTGTTACGCAGAGCCCCTCGACATGTCCCGCTGCAAAACAAACATTAATTAGCTTGAGTTTGTCATTGTAGTGAAGTTACCTTCCTACGTAACCCAGTAGTCGAGCTCACAGTCGGCAGTGCGCCGACAATTTCAATCGAACCAACTTTTGAGCTGGAGTTTCGGTAAAATATAAATTGGAAATGGGAATGTATTTGAATCACGTATTCGTTTAGTTTTGTCGGCGACCGGACAGGCTCGATGTGAATACTAATCGAGTTTAATGCGTAGTTGCAGGATTATAGCGCGCGGCGGCAGGCCAAGACTTCGTTACGTGGTAAATGGACGCTGAACGACTGCACACAATGTACACGGATCACTTTCTATTCGCGTTCACATACCGCAGCCTCCGCAGGTGTAATTGATGCGCGAATAAATCAGTGGAGGAGTGAGGCATTGTAGACATTGTGGTTCAGGATCTCGGGAAAGAAAGAAAAGACGCCTTGATAAATTATTCCCCCCCGGACACTGACATGACAAACGCTTTCCGTCGGCTCACTTACAAATTGTAACACAAGACAGGATGATGGAATTTTTTGGTATTTTTTATTTAGAAATCTTGAGATTTTTGTGGTTAACGAATCTGATGTTTATACCATCGCTTGTAACGGCTGCGAATGATTTGTTTTAAATAAAGTTGGAGCTTCAATGCAATTTATGAAGCACAATGTCAAGGAAATATATTTCTACAATTCTTCGTTTCTATTCGTTGTTATAAAAGCAATTACTTAATAGAATTGGTTTATGCAACAGAATCGTGGCTGAAGAGTATTGAGGGAGCGCGCGGTGAGGTCGTTCAAAGAGCCAATCAATGCGGACGAGGAATACATTCGAATGGAATTAATGGAGCAGACCGACCACTGGACCAACTTCCCACATCTATGTACGTGAGTTCAGCTCACTGAGGGAAAAGTTAAACGACAAGTTAATACGAATGACTTACAGCTTTATTTAAAAATAGAATATAACTTGCTTGAAATTAGGTCCCTACCAAAATGGCAGTGACGATTTGAAAATATAAGATTTGTTAATGATACTTGTTAGAAACTATTGCAGAAGTCACAGTAAGAATAAAATAGTTAAAAATAATGGTGACCGAATTTCAAAGTTCGCCAGTATATTGGTGATTAGTATTTCAGTATTTGTTACACAGGAATAATATGAATGTTAAGTTAATCCACATAGATGAGGTAATTTCATTTTCGACGTGAGGAAAAAGGGGTTTCTTAGAAACAGTGGCGAGGACGGTCGGTCGTGTCCTTATTAAAGTCATAAATAATGACGCGCTCACTGCGGATGTTATGAAGGCCTGCTGCGGACCCACAATAACCGGAGTATGTCTTTAATATATGGATAAGGCTTTCACATGTAAGTCGATGTACACACGGAAGGAGGAACAAAGAAGTCAATAGAACATCATTTCCTCACTCATCGGAAGAGAGTAACTACCTAGCAGTATTTAATTCAAAGCTCACAAAGAGCAATCAGGATCTGTCAGCAAACGAGAGCCAATTAGAACTAAGTCCAAAATAAACTTGAAAGTGTAATTAACAAAATATAATGAATGCCCCTAGCAGCGCTGCACAGGTACGCCGAAATGTATACACAACTTTAGCAAATAAAGTTAGCCTCGACGTGTCGCTGACAGTTCCGCAGCTAGCGCGCCCGCCTCGCGCCCGCCCCGCGTCCGCACCGCTCACGATACGTGCTTTACAAAAGACTCAATAATACAAAACATTTCACTTTTGACGAAAGTTTAATTAACGAATGAATTTAAATTATTTTCCGCTTCAGCAACAGCAAAAGCTCGTTTGTCCGGTCACTTAGAATAATAAATTTCGGGTCAGCTATATTTAATACTTGTTGTATTATAACAGAAAATTGTTCTTGACATTTGTGAAAAACCTGCTAAATTCATTCAAGCCATTCGTAATAATAATTGCTACGAAAACACCTACTTTTGCAGTCTTCGACGAGGACTTGTCTTGCTACGTTTCGTAGCCTTTACTGCGTAGCAACTGACAGTGTGACTACGGTGGCTACGAAATTAGCTACGAAAAGTTTGAAAACTGTTACAGTAAAGTTTTATGGAAGAAATGTAACTGTTTGTGTATGTAGTTATAAATTTAATTTAATACAATAGCTTTATCACTTATCTGAGACGAACAGTTGTAGTTTCTCATGGATGGATATATAATCAGAATGATAGCCTATTAGTGGCGGCTATCAGGCCTCACAGGCCACACATCGCAGCAGCCCATTTCAGTATCTATGAGCCTTCAATGGCCGAGACATACAGAATAGGCACTAAATATTAAGTAGGCTCCTATCAAACTGCACAGATACTAAAACGACGACCGTTACGCCAAATATCAATTTAATAGATTTCAATTTTATTGTTGTGAAATGAAGTTGAAATTCAATTCATGAAGTGAGTTTTTTCGTATTCAAATTTATAGAAAAGTACTCCTAGAAATAACAACAAAACCTATAAAAAAAAAATCTTAGAGGATGATAAAACGGTACCGCCTACAAATAAAACACATTATATTTGATAGCAAGAAAGCTATTTTAGTTTGGAAAATACGCGGCTTTTATAAATATGGGATCCCGGCATGAAATTAACATTACCGTTCACTTGTATCACACAACGTGGTGTAGACTTACTACACTGCTTAGTGACAGTTTAAAGCCATTCGACGCTTTGATTAGCTCCAAGTTGACCATTTTAATTATATACAAACATATTCACATATCATGGGTTGTACTACTAAAGTTCTGTGTACCCTAATTTGTAAAGAAATATCGCAAAATGATGTATGCTGGTTGGTAGGCTGTAGAAGAAGAACGAAACTGGTACTAATAGTACTTTTTCGTTGAATGTATTTATTACACATTTGTTATAGCGACAGAAATGTCTGTAAAATGACTTACAAAAACGTAATGAAATATTGCCTCAGTTTGATGTACAGGGACGCCTTATAAATTGTATTTGTTTATTGTAAAGAGTAGGGAGATGATTCCCTACAGTATACGATAATGTAAGTTGTTGTAAGTGACAGGTTTCATAACACATCCTGCGTGGGAAGCCATGTTGCTTTAACCTTTCGAAGGAGCTAACGTAAGCTGTAGATATACATAAATGTATTCAGAAACTCGCAGCCACTAAGCACTTGTATGAATTATGAAGAGATTTTGGTTAAATAAGACATTTTCGCATAAATTTGTAATTAAGAAAAGGATGCTGGAGACTAAGAGCAGATTAGAGATCAACATAACGTTGAGTGTATCCATTCTCCGCGGTGATAACATAAAAGAGATTTTAAACCATCTGACGGAGGAGCATGCGACATTGTGTGAGGTCGTAAAGAGCCGGCATTGTGTCGCACATAACAGTAAAGGTCGCGACGTACCGGGGTAGGTAGACTTCCAAATAACGAGTCGACCGACTGCCACATAAAATGTTCACACCCAATTTTTATTATCCGCGATATTTCTGCACTAAAATTCATATTTAATACTTTGCCAGCTTAAAATAGAAAATGTTCTCCGTGATTTTATATTTAATGGCGTTCGATAGACCATAAGACATTATGTTGGGAACTACTCAGTAACTTGTTACAATAATATGTTGTATACAGCGGCAGCTGAGCTGTGTGTGGGAAATGGCAGACGTTATTCAAACAACTTTTTTACGAAATAAAAGATAAACATTGCTTCATTCAGCCCTCTCACTGGCTGCTGAGTGTTCACACGCAAAGTGTTGATGAGCATATAAATAACAAGACGCCAGAGTGACTCGAGACAAACTCGGAGGGACCGACGTGCGACGCCGCACAATATTTATGCGTTCAACTCTCTTACAAATTGAGATGCTAAGCGCTACACAAGCATGCGATGCTTTCAACCCAAAACCGAAATATTTCTGCTGAGTGTATTTACTAGGGGAACAGAATGTTTCTGGTTGCTTGATAAAATCGTGGAGTCGGTAGTTACGAGCCCCCGGGAAGTAATATCGTAAGATGATAAAGTATGGGAAGCTGTCGGAGTGGGCGCGTCTCCTCACAGCATACGTATGAGTTTAAAATTATAATTCATAGCGTGTCACATCCCGCGGGCCAACTTTACGATCGGCTACCGAGTAAATATATTCGTAGAGCAAGGAAGCTCGAATATATCCAGTGAAACCTTTTTCCCGCGGCTTTATTTGCGTTCCCGGCGGGTCCATCACTATTCCCGGACAAATAAGGACACGATCAAGTCTGAGCGTGAATGTCAAACAGGGCACAGATTTGTGAGTTGTGTGAATCAGTTATAATATCAGTGTAAGTTACTGCTGCGGACGCAGAAATGACGTGACAACCTACTGAGCAAATTTATAATATATTACAAAATCAAGTTATTCACGCGCCAACTTGATCCCTCATACCACGATAGGCTTAGTTAAAAGCCAGTAAATCTGGAAGCTAATGGAGTTATGTTTAATGTGATGATGAATGCTTGTTATTGTCGCGTGTAATTACTCATAGTTGAAACTATACACAGTGGTGATGTGAGACGGCAATATATTTTCAACTTAACAGTTTTGTAATAAAGTTGGTAAGTTGGTTGATTTGCTGTTGTAGACCATTATATCTAGTATTAGTAGAAGAGACGTGGGCGTAGCTGTGGTGTGTGTAATTATATAACGCATATCTGACAAACCATGATCGTTATTGCATTTAGCGGTAAGCCATTATGAAGTTGTCCAATTGTGAAATGCACGGGCTTCTTGCATGTCAACAGTCGCATTTGTTGGGGGCAACACTTTGCAAAGTCTAGCTAGAAACATTTGCCCGTAGCTGTGTTTGGTTGGTTAGGCGTTCCTTAGTAATTGGTCGCAACAATTTATTGCAGGCACTTTGACATTGTAACTAGTTGATGAGTACTCACACTTCGATGGCCTTGTTCCAGTTGATGACGTAGCCGGAGAGCGCGAAGGTCTCGATGTTGACGACGTGCACGTTGCCGCGCTCCGTGCCCACGTGGATCCACTTGGACGCCAGCGGCAGGTGCAGGCACGTGATCCTGCAAGCACACATCACATTCACATACACACACTTACACTTTTGTTACGAAAGTTTAACAAGTTTTATACCTAATCACTCATTATTCTTCATATTTATAAGTAATAGGAGCAATATCGTCAGCCATTAAAAGACTACCAATAAGAAGAAAGACACAACAAACCGAGCCAGGACCAAACAAACATAGATCACTACATTCATATACTACTACATCTCTCGACAGTTAAAATATACAAATTACTATATTTCTCAAAGCCCATATCGTTATTATTTTATAGAAATTTCAGGTTTGAACACTCGAATTGAACATAAGGACTATAAGTTAGTCTGTAACCCACAATAGATTGACCAGCTAAGATGCACTGATTCGGTAAAGGTAGAGGTTCAGGATCATATCTGTTTATGAAGAGTTATTGCTCAACATAACATGTAAGGATATAAGGTAATTAATCCCTTAATGTATTGAAAGAGAGAAAAGCTCTACTAGTTTTGGATGCGCGATGTCACCGCGATATGCACTCCGCTCATAAATGAGAATCCTGTTGAGGCTTGAAATTGACAGAAGTTTGCTTAGATAACTCGCGCGAGCTTCATTTGATTCATTTGATTCATCTCTGCGGACTGGCTTCACAAGTCAATAATCACCTACGATAACCTCGTTAAGTACCAGCTACGTGTCAAATAGTAAATAAGTCTATAAACGTCTAAGGATAACATTATCATCAGAGTCTATTATATCATGTATCTATATGTTACATACTACACCAATAGATAGAGGTACATTTTGCTTTGCTAAGCTACAATTAAATTCAATTACATACTCGTTATATCTACAAAATATACACGATTAACTGCTAAGATAATTATGTAGCCTAACATGGGCCGACGCGGGCAAACATTCAATCCAACAGATTGGTCCACGTCTTTCATATAATATTAGCTGTTTACACGCGTAACATATTCATTTTTACGTTAAACAGTAAAAGTTTATCTAAACGATGGCGGTACACATATCGGTGGAATTCACAGAAGGTCCATTCTGCTGAGGTAAGAAATTGGCAGTTAAACATTGTTTTAATGATAGCACTTTATACTTAATTTTATAAGAAAATACCGTTTGACCGATATTATTTGAGAAGTACATTTAATATTAGCTATTTTCTGAGTTGACATTCTGCTGTTGTTCTATAGTGGGTGTGTACCGTGTTATAACCCGCGCGCCGCCGTAACGGTCCGTCCTGATAAAGTTCCCCGCTGTACACTTTTTAATTAACCCTTTACGTGGCGATTACGTGGCGATCTTGCTCGTATCGTTTGCTTTTTATAGCTACAGTTACACGGGTTTTAGCCAACACAGTGGCTATCGTTTTTTAATACCTGGTAAGCAGATTAAGGTTAACATTGTCTATAGAAACTGATCTAACTAGAACTTACATATATTTGTTTAAGCAGTGACTGTGAAGACATTTAGATATTGAATGTAAGTACATGCAATTCCTAAAACACTGAGACGGGCAGTAGCTGACGAGACAACGCATGCATCAAGGTATTATGTATTGTGTACAATATTTTGCCTATAAACTTACTTCTACGACAAATACCTACGATATAAAGGTAGGGAGGTACACATGAGGTCGTGCCTCATGTGTATATCAATACCAGAATTATAAAAAAAATAGTGTAGCTGTCTCAATCTAGATCAAGATAACATTAAATTAAATATAATATCTCGAAATTATACGTCATTAGTATTTAGACAAGATAATGATTACAAGTTATTTTGTATAGATTGACCGTCAGCGCTGGCAGCGGCGGCGGCGGCGTGGCCAGAGATCGTGCTAGAGTGCGTGCAAGTTCGTGCGAGTTCGTGCGAGTGCGTGCGACATCAAACTAACACAGACTCACCCCTTTATTTCGTTAGTCGATAGTGAAAGTTTGATGCGTGATCTGTAACAGCGCAAAATGTACGCCTCAACTATGTGCGTGTATGTCGGTACGTCAGTACTAACGCGGGGCGCAACAAATATATCCACTGTACTACACACAGACAGAACTACAACACTTGTTCACTTTTCAACGTCGCCATGTATCGCAACGCGTCTTTATTCTCAGTACACGAACAGTCAGAGCTGTTAGCAGCGAGAGACAGGCACGACATTTTATTGTGTTGACATTCTTTCGCTGCTTTCATGTTATTTGATACTCTATTTTTTTGTTGGTGCATTGAGTCTCCTACAAGACGTCGTGTGTTATTCACAGAGTCACGCTTACGCTCGGACGTACGAAAATATTTGTTGCACCCACAATGTCTATTACTTGTATAGACTAAAACCTACAAGTATTTAATATTAATATCTTTAAACCTGGCACAGATCACACGTGAGAGGTCTGATGCAATACTTTACTATACGTTTCGATCTGGTTGTGGTGGCAAGCAGACTGACGTTGCAAGCCTACCAAGGTATTTGGATAATTATTTCCCGCGTAATTAAATGTTGTAAATATGTAACGCGAAAGTTTAAAAGTTAGTATGATCAAATACTGTTTTAAAAATAACCCTTGCGTCTGTACCAGGCATTTATAGTGTCAAGAGTTAGTCACGTGACGAGTGCCGGAGACTGTAAAGTGCTCAATGTGCTGATGATGGGAGCTTCATATGTCGAAGTATACTTTATATATATGTATGTGTATAGTAACTATATGCGTAATAGGATCGTTAATTTATTTTTACTTTAGGCACAAAGCCATAGTTGTTTTAAACTTCGCTAAAAGTCTTTTAGATGAAGAAAAACTTGATGCCTTTATTTCTCCAGTCCTCAATCCAGTGAATAAATAATGTATACAACTTGATTTCTTCTTCCAATTTAGTTCGTAAGTCGTTGAAAGGAATCACTCAATCAATGTGTAAGTGAAGGCTGGTCAGTTGTGCCCCCGCGAGCGTGTCACGGGTTAACTGTCAGATTGCGTGAGCGGGTCGCTCTGTGACTGAAGCTGTTAGTGTACGTGTGTGAGTGTAACACTGATGTTGCATGTGTGGATATATCCTGTAGGCATTGTCGAGCAATTGACCAATCAATCAGTCAAAGCGAAAGTCAGAATTTTTATTTATTTTATTTATTTAGCAAAAAGTACAATTTTAGTTATAACATTTTGTTCTTATAATTAAAGATCCTCGCCAAACATAACGTTTAACGGCGAGAAGCGCTCATTTGTTTTACTTACTAGCTAATTAAGTACTTTATATAACATTAAAAAACAAAACCAAAATCAAAACAAACACAAAAAACACACATTACAAAGGATAATCATTAAAGAATGCATTGCCTATGCTCTCTTGAGCAATTCTCCCCTTAGCTTCTTCTTCAATATAAACAAACTCACTTTATTTTCCTCTCTCAATATATCTATTTTATTGAATATTTTTGGCACTATATATTTATTAGTTCTCTTACCATAGTAGTTAATTATTCTAGGTTTATTTAACATATGCTCTCTAGCCCTTCTGGTGTTATATTTATTCTCTACTATACATTTATATTCATTGCTATAATAATACTCTAATCCTATTAAATACTCAACTTTCTTATCTATGGGCAGTATTTTACACAATGGAAATAGTTTATCATAATCCTTATTGCAGATGTTTTTCTCTTTCTTACTCACTAAGTATTTTATCAGTCTTAATTGTAAATTTTTAATATCCTTTAAGTAAGTTTGGAAAGTACGCCCGTATACTAATAGACCGTAGCTGATAAGAGAGTCGGCAAGCGCGTGGTAAACCATCCTCATTGTGTCTGAGTTGACTATTCTGTGTATTTGGAAGAACTTGCCTAGCACTGAACGTAACCTATTGCAAACATCATTTACATGAGTTGAAAAGTTGAAGTTTTTATCAATTTTTAAGCCTAAATATTTAAAGTTGTCGACATATTGAATGACATCACAATTACATCCATGTTTGTTATTATGTAGGCAGTCGTATGTGTGTCCTATTAAATTAATATTATTTTTGTTTGTATTTTTTGCACTTTGATTATATGGTGAGTGAATATGCATACATTGTGTTTTTTTGAAGTTTATTATTATCCCGTTGTCATGAGCCCATTTAGTTATGTTTTCGAAGTCTGTCTGCAAATATCTTTGTACCTGTAATATATCTTTAGATGCATAAACCACGCACATATCGTCTGCGTACATAAAAACATGACAATTATTTACAACATTTGACACACTATTAACATGCATGACATAGCCCACGGGTCCGAACACTGAGCCGGTGGGCACACCCAGGCTCACTGGCGCCGCCTCTCCTGTGACACCGCTTATCTTTGTACGTATCTCTCTGTTACTTAAGTAATTCCTAAACCAACTGTTAGTCGGGCCGCGAATACCACATTCATCCATAGCCTGTAGAAGTATGTCATGATCCAAAGTATCAAACGCTTTTTTGTAATCAATAAAAAGCGCTATTAATTGTCGGCCAGAATCTAGACTTTCATTTACATACTCACCGGGACACCGTAAACTTATACAAATTACGAAGTTGCGACAGTTTTATGTGCGGTGACTTGAACCTGTCCTCGTCTGGACGGAAGTTGGTGCCCCAGCCACCCGCCACCTATCCACTCTGTTTGCTACAATTACAATAACTTTTATAGCCCTCCCCCCCCTTCCGTCTCGCCCCCGCCGTCTCGTCAGTCCCCTGTCCTCTGTCGACGGTTGGCGCCGCATCGTATTTCATTCCGCTCGAGGTGGCTCCCATTATTCAGCTGAAGATAATTTTATGGCTCCAGCCATCTGTTTGTTGGCAGATTTTTTGTTTGTTTCCAGGCGATTGATATTAATCGTTCCGGAATTGTGTTTGTAATACAATGGCTTCATTTGCCGCTCTATGAGAGGAGATCATTAAACGCAACGGCATTTGAAACTGTTTATTAAAATAAAGATTTAATTGTGACTGAGATTAGATTTTATTTCGAAGTTTATTGTTCAGATTGAGATTCGTAAACGTTTTACTGCTACTACAATATACTAGCAACAATTATCGTATCAATGTAGACAATATATTAATTTCAGGTTAATATTGACACCCCTTGGAACGCGACTGCACGACGTGACTTGTGACGATAGAGAAAGTTACCCAAAAATATGTCGCGGCTTAGCTGCGGGTGATGTAAACAATGAACGAGGCATGTATTATGTATACCTACTGAAAAGCGCGCCTACACATCTCGAGAGTGAGGGCCACGACATCTTCGTTGCCATGACAACCGGCTGTATAATTGCAGACCCCGGCCTCGGCGCCCTCTAGTGATTAATTAAACAAAACAATAATAACGACCGACAGACAATAGCTCTCTGATTTATGACGAATTAAGTTTGATTGTAAACTGTCTGCAAAGTTTCATCAATTCCGTTCCGTAACTGTAAACGAGCGAACTTAATTACTGTACCAACTGTGTACCTTCGGAGATATCTTTTTACGACCAAATATTTAATGTTCAGACCAAATAGCAAATAGAGTAAGGAAAGAAAATCGACGGAAATGTCCGCAAACGAGCGCCGGAAAATTGTGAGACGAACATGCCGGAAATGAGGAGCGACCTCTGGCGAGCACAGAGTGAGTTCAGTTCAGAACACTTGCGGAATAGTGGCATTACATCTTTGTAGCCCCATATAAGTTAATATAGAACGAAAATTCCCGGCACGAGTGCGGCCCAATCAGTCGGGTCGCGGCGACCGGGCCGGCTCGCGACGGGTTGGCGTTAATTCGAGTAATTACTGCTCTGTATGCAAACAGCCGGGGGACGGGGCCGGCCGCTCCACTTCTAAACGACGCCGTCTATTGCAAGTGATTTAGTTTTTATTGGGTGATGATGACTGAAAGAGGATTCCCATATTTGCATGAAAAAAGCGGAGTTTAACAACAAAATTTAAATAAAAAAGTGTGCTAAAAAGCAATAGATGTTAGATGACAGGGAAACAATGTTAGAGAAGGTTATTTATCATTCAGTTTTCCTTCGTAAAGAATGTGAGGAAGCGCAATACAGAAAATACTTATATTTTCGTATCCCCCGTCATCGCCTACTTTGGGACATTTTCGTGAGTTTTGTTGTTTCCAACATTAATTATTACGTTTGTTCTGCCGTTGCGTTTTATGATCTCCTCTCATAGAGCGGCAAATGAAGCCATTGTATTACAAACACAATTCCGGAACGATTAATATCAATCGCCTGGAAACAAACAAAAAATCTGCCAACAAACAGATGGCTGGAGCCATAAAATTATCTTCAGCTGAATAATGGGAGCCACCTCGAGCGGAATGAAATACGATGCGGCGCCAACCGTCGACAGAGGACAGGGGACTGACGAGACGGCGGGGGCGAGACGGAAGGGGGGGGGGGGGGGGGGGGGGGCTATAAAAGTTATTGTAATTGTAGCAAACAGAGTGGATAGGTGGCGGGTGGCTGGGGCACCAACTTCCGTCCAGACGAGGACAGGTTCAAGTCACCGCACATAAAACTGTCGCAACTTCGTAATTTGTATAAGTTTACGGTGTCCCGGTGTCCCGGTGCCGGAGTATGGCTCAAACTTTTACTGCTGGAATATTTGTCGCAGTAATATGTTGCGGACACTCCAACAGAACATGATATACTTTGACAACGTGAGGTGGGCTGCTAACTTTATGGAAATGTACCACTTTGGTATGTAGTTCGGATATGTCGGTAAATGTATCAAAGTCGTGACATTTAAAACTACTGTTTAGTGTTTCCTTGCAAGAGTTACTGCACACGTTGACTGGCATCTGGCAATATGTGACACCACACCTCACAAACTAAAACAATTACATTAGCATATTATTGTAATGTTATAATACCACTGACAGTTTGTCCATGGTTGTCTTGAAATGCAATAAAACTTGCAAGTAAACTGTGCTTAATAACACTAAAGTAGTGGAAAAATATAATTTTATGTTCCTTGGAACGTTAACTTCCAGCGTTTATTTAATTTAGTGTAGCAAGACCATCTACGGAGCAAGTCATCGTCATCTCAACTAAATTATCGTGCAGTGAAAGATTTTTAGGTCATGTTACCTCTCTCTCTGGAACTTGAGGGAGTGGAGCCGCTGCGGAGACTTCTGCCGGAAGGTCCAGAGGTGCAGCTGGTCGTCTGCGGTGGCGGTGACGAGGGCTCCCTCGTTGACCAGGAACCGGGCGTGCAGTACTGCCTCGCCGCACTCGTGCCTCACGTGTGAGTCCACGCCTGGTCCACCCAGACTGATGTACTGGCTCAGGATATTATTCACACAACGGATAGGATACAACTTCATTTGTTTTTCTAATGCGTAACTTTAACATAGTGTAACAGGTATGCTGAGATTTATTGACTAAAATATCATTGATTACTTGCTTGTGACTTTGGACTTTAGTTGTTGACGAAGAAATCAAAGAAAATTGTATAGAAGTTAATTAAGTGTGAGTCTAAGGAATTGGTGAATCACTGTCATTTTGCTTTACTGAATTCGATACATAAATAAGAAAGAAAATAATAAAATATATTTAATATTCAGTAGCTGTCCCTGTAGATCCAGTATAAATCTACGGGTCCGTAAAATAATTACATCAAAATATAAACTCATTACGAGTTATATTTTTATTCTTGTCAGGGTCCCTAAGACGGCGCTTACACTTTGAAAAATTCGAGAGGGCACGTAAAATGACGCATTGTACCTCGCCTTTGTGTCAGCTTCGTTAAGCTTGATTTCGATACAATTAGGGGAGGGGGAAGGTGTTGCCAGCGTAAATAAATCACCTACCGTCGAGTAACCGTGATCGTTATTTCATGTGAGATTTTTTAGGAAAACCGTTTAGGCTTGTGTGGAGAATAAAATGAAAGTGCGGTTACGAATATAGGTACAATTTAACAGTTATACTAGTTGTTATTTTTATTTTTACTGGGCTCGAATTCATGTTGGTATTTTATGTAACATTAATTTCATCATTGATTTCTCTCCAATATTGGCAAAAAGTATACGACAAGAGATCACAGGTCACAGGGTTAGACCCATATCTGATTGAGGTTACATTAACAATTGTCATTTGACTAATTCAATCAGACCAATTACATCCATCACAATGTGTTGCTGAACATCTCATCCTCAAATACACTTAATAATTTTATATGAATTCCACCGTTCTTTTAAGTAACACATAAGTGAATCATTCTTAAACAGAGTGAAGTCAGTTCTTAACCTGCTATGTATCAGACGGGGCCCTACAGGTCTGATGTTCGGCCGGGTTTGCGGGGTAAGCGCAATGTGGCACCGTGACCTCGGCCCAAAGTAGGAGAAGTAACAGGGTGTTTTTAGTCAGTAAGAGTCGGACACTCCCTCCCGCCCAGCCCTGGGCGGGAGAAGTCATATGATAAATTACCCCTCACAAAAAAACCTGTTATGTATATGATAAGGAGCAATCTTGTATTTCCTAGAACCGAGTGAGTCCGGTTATCCGGGCATAGTGCGACTTGCCACCAATTTAATTAGCACTAAGTACTAAGTACATAGAAAACGACGCCACGTCTCTGTCTGTATGTCTGCTTGTATGTTTGTCCTTATTTGCGGTCGGATCCTGTGGAGCTTTGCTTTTAATCCATAATTTCATTTACTATAGAATTAATTTGATGCAATGTTCACGAAGTTGATTTAGAACTAGTTCTTTATTGTTTAACATAGCCTTCTCTCTACTATTAAATTAATTTGGATTAAATTCTAAAGCTATTAAAAATATAATTAAAAAAACACATTGTCAAATAAAATAATTGTATTAAAATTCGGAGGAAACAAAATTGTTTGAAGAGTTTAGATGATAAATAAGTAGTGAGGGCTCAGGTACCGTAATGAGCTTATGTTTTCATTTGTTTAATTAAGTACAAACACGGAGCTACTGTTCAACTTACAAACGTCAGGTAATTAAAATTGTATGGAACATAAATGTAGAATATAATTTATGTTAGTACAATTTCACCGTGTTGTATTTTTGGATAATTAATTTACGCATTTCTCTCTCCTAGTTGTGTGTAGGTAACTAAAACACGTTTAGATAAAATAAGTAATTTTAGAAACATAATTTATAATAATTTTATTAATGTTGAAATGGCGAGGTTCTTTCGTATGCTATACGATGCGCTGTCTCTTGTCATAATGTAAAATAATGTTTCAAAGCTCCAGGGTAAGGTTTCTACAAAAAAAAAAAATCAAATGTTTACTTGGATGTTTATCGATGATCAGTACTGAAGTAGCGCGGTACTGTAGTGCCGCCTATAGGCACTAATTGACAGGTGTTCGTTAACAGACCTCCTCTTAATTAACGAAGGTATTGTTTAACATTTCTGAAATAATATAGTTCGAAGGGTGCTCACAAGTTTGCATTGCTTGCTGGAATAATAATAACTATAACTAAAACTAGCGGAGCACTTGTTAGAGTCGAGCTGTAGGCAGTTTGACGTTGTAACTCAAAGTTCTCAGACGGCCATTGGCAGCTCATTAAACATGGGCACAGTTAGCTAAACTTGTTTAATTAAACGTTAAGTTTGTTCGAAACGTCTTCTGTCAGACGTGAGCCGTATCGCAAGTTCAGCAGAGATGTAAACAGACGGCGCGTTCGCGTTCTGCCATTTCGTAAGTTATTAGTTCCGATGGGTGGCGGACTTGAGTTGCTCGATATTGTGATTCATGGACACCGATTTTAATATTCATTAATATTTATGAAATAAACTTCAGTAAAAACGCGGCGCCGTTAATTTACTGTGACGTAAACAGCAAGATAACTTCTTCCATCATTTATACTTTGTGGCAAGATGTCAAAATATTTAAGCGGGCTGCGGGAAAACGAATATTTCCCCTCAGATTCACTAAACAGACAGCTGAAATGGCCAGAGACACTGTTAGGCATTGAAATGTACATTTTATTATCGCGACGCCATTGTTATCTTTGTTTCCCGCCATTACGGACAGAGGTACAATTTTAAGGTGTATTTTAATTAGCTTAAATAGCTCGCTGTAATGGTTAATATTTTAGACAATTATGATAAATATCTGACGAGTAGTGCGTGGCAACTGTCTCCAATATTATCGCTTTGTTAAGCCATACTTAGCAATAACCAGAAACTGCTCATTGCGCGCGAAATATACATTTCTCCTTTATAACTTGTAAACTTTGTAACAAATGGCGTTTTGTAATACAAAATAAAGTAATTAACGAAGAATTGGTCCAATTATAAATTATAACAGATATTGTTTATGTTTGTTTTATTAGTTCATTTAATTTATATACTTACGTATCTTTGTATATGATATAGTACAAGTCCGATATGTATACAATATTTTGCTTAGTGCACGCCAGAGAAGTATCTCGGAACTGGTGATACATATATAATAATGTGTTATGACATTTAAGAGCTGTATAGTTGTCAGTTAGTAATCTGCACTAACTCAGTCGCTCCTTTTAATAATTTCTCTAAATTCCAAGCACGTCCAGAAGCGGCGCCCGCAAATGGCGACCAGGCCGCGCGCCGTCACCTACATTGTAAAATATTGCGGGTCCTTGGGAAACCTATAATCCTAGGTCTAAGGAACATTTCCGACCTGATGGCTGACTCGATAAATAGAGTCAACAGAAAAAGGTCGCAAGTGACTAAGTAATGGAGATAGAATTGTGAAATGTGAATGAGCGAGTCAATTGTGAACTGATATAAGCGGGATTAAATATTATTCTTGGTTCGTAAATATTTCTTTGTGGATGGTTCAGCTCCAAAGATATTTACTTCATTTTCTTCAACTTCAACTGTTTGTTCTCAAGGAAAGAGACCTTCGATTGAACAATTTCTTTTCAACGAGATTCAATAAAAAATCTTATTTTACTCGTGTAATATATTTGTCACGTAATTCTGTCCGGGCGAGTGAATTTATTTAGGTGCCAGGATCCGAACCACAAATAAAATGATCAAACTATGGCCGTGATTTGATAAAAACGTTATGTGACGACTTTTGCTAAGAAATTTATTTTTGATTAAATAAAACGGAACGACTGACTGACTGACCCTTCATAATTCATGTGCACTGCTATGTTCACTTTAACATCACGCTGTCTTTTTTTTTCTTTTTTTTATGTAATTGGTCGGCAAACGAGCAGACGGATTACCTGATGGTAAGCGATCAGCGCTGCCCATGGACACCCGCAACGGAGGAGTTACGAGTGCGTTGCCGACCTTTTAGTGATTAGGGATTTGGAGATTTAAGGATTGAGGAGGGATTGGGGGCGGGGTAGGATTGGGCCTCCGGTAACCTCACTCACACGGCGAAACACAACGCTGTTGTTTTACGTCGGTCTTCTGTGAGGCCGTGGTATCACTCCGGTCGAGCCGACCCATTCATGCCGAAGCATGGCTCTCCCACACTTAATAAATTTCTCTTGAAATTTAATGAATATCTAATGTAAGAGGATAGAACAAGAAATCATATCCACTTAGTTATCTATGTACATTTTAATTACCATTGATTTTAATTTAAACAATAAGCTTAGAAAGCAAAGTTAAGATTACCAAGATTGAAACAAAATTGTCCAATTGAATCAAGGTAGGATAAAGTAAAAGATATTGTTAAAGCGGCTTTATTTAACCGGCACAATGTTGCCAGCCTCGCCGCGCCGCTACCGCCATCTACAATTACATTACTCGAAAGCCAATTTATGTAACATTTAAGGAAAATATATTTTTTTTCCTCATACTAAGTTGTTTTATTTCAAAACCGAATGAAAAGCGATTAAGTAACTTTTTTTGGATTGACCTTTGTTCAAGTTTTGTTTGATAAAGTAGGTATAAGTTTGTGATTTATGGATAGAAGATAATTTACTGACATTTTCCTTGAGAATATCTAAACTACAAGTAAGTAGGACATTAACAGAGGACATTTTGAAAATTTTCTCCATCTTCAAGAATCCACTCGATTCTCTCTGTGCCTCAGCAATTTCCTATTTCGTATGTTTATGCATCACATTGCTCGTAAAAAGAGATTTAACTAAACAAACTTTTAATAACAGGTTCCTTTTCAATTACTCGTGCTATCGCCACGCGAAAGTTCAGTTGAAAAGTTAATGACTGCGGCTGCACCTGGTTTAACAAACTTTAACTGTAACCTGCAAACTGATATTATTAACTGAGAAACATAAACTTACTTGTATTATAACACTGCAGTCATTTTTAACCATTCCATTCTACTTCT